GGGAAAACTTTATCATAAACTATTTTAAGCGTGCATTAAAACAAAGACAATTGTACAATGTGCCCTCATGTCCCCCAGCTTAAGTCATTATAAACTGATGGATAAGTTTGTTTTGTATATACTTGCATTCAGCCCATTATACTTTTGAAGAATAAAAAAAATAAACCTGAATAAACCAATAACCACTGATGAAATAAAAGCAGTAATCAAAAAACTCCCCTCAAACAAAAGCCCAGGGCCAGATGGCTTTATAGGGGAGTTTTTCCAAACACTCAAAGAACTAACACCTATATTCCTCAAACTGTTTCAGAAAATCCAAGAGGAAGGAACACTTCCAAACTCTTTTTATGAGGCCAGCATTATCCTAATTCCAAAACCAAATAAAGACACTACAAAGAAAGAGAATTCCAGGCCAATATTCCTGATGAACATAGATGCTAAAATCCTCAACAAAATATTAGCAAATTGCATCCAGCAATATTTTAAAAAGATCATACAACATGATCAAGTGGGATGCAAGGCTGGTACAATATTTGCAAATAAACAAATATGATACATCACATAAACAAATTGAAAGACAAAAATCACACAATCATATCAATAGATGCAAAAAAAAAAAGGATTTGACAAAATCCAACACCCATTTTTGGTAAAAATTCTCAGCAAAATTGGAATAGAGGGAGCATATCTCAATATGATAAAGGCCATATATGACCAGCCTACAGCCAACATCATACTCAATGGGCAAAAACTAAAACCATTTCCTCTAAGAACAGGAACACCACTCCTGTTCGACATAGTACTGTACATGCTAGCCATAGTGATCGGACAAGAAGAAGAAACAAAAGGCATCCAAACTGGAAAAGAAGAAGTAAAACTGTCCTTATTTGTAGATGACATGATATTGTACAAAGAAAACACCAAGGACTCCATAAAAAAAATTACTAGACTTAATAAATTAATTTGACAATGTAGCAGGATACAAAATTAACACCCAGAAATGTATGGCTTTTTATATATCAATAATGAATTCACAGAAAGAGAAACTAAACAAACAATCCCCTTTACCATTGCAAAAAAAATAAAAAATAAAAATAAATAAAATAAGATACCTAAGAATAAACTTAACTGAGGAGGTAAAATACCTTACTCAGAAAACTACAGGATGTTGAAAAAAGAGCTAGATGAATACATAAACAAATGGAAGAATATACCGTGTTTATGGATTGGTAGAATCAACATCATTAAAATGTTCATACTACTCAAAGCAATCTATAGATTCAATGCAATCCCTGTTAAGAAACCAACAAAATATCTCACAGACCTAGAACAAACTGTCCAAAAATTCATCTGAAATTTAAAAAGACCCCAAACAGCCACAGCAATCCTGAGAAAGAAGAACAAAGTTGGAGGGATCACATTACCAGATATCAAGCTATATTACAAAGCCACTGTTCTCAAAACTGCCTGGCGTTGGCACAAGAACAGATATATAGACCAATGGAACCAAACAGAGAACCCAGAAATAGACCCAAGCCATTATGCTCAATTAGTATTTGACAAAGGAGGCAAGAGCACACAATGGAGTCAAGTCTTTTCAATAAATGGTGTTGAAATTGAACAGATAATGCAAAAAAAAAAAAATGAAAATAGACCACCAACTTACACCATACACAAAAATAAACTCAAAATGGATAAAGGACTTAAAAGTAAGACAGGAAACCATAAAAATCTTAGAAGAATACATAGGCAGCAAAATAGCAGACATATGACATAGCAATATCTTTACTGATACAGTTCCTCCTGGGACAATGAAAACCAAAGAAAAATAAACAAATGGGACCTCAACAAAATAAAAAGCTTCTGCACAGCAAAGGAAACCAATAACAAAACAACAAGAAAGCCCACTGCATGGGAGAACATATTTGCCAATGTTATCTCCAATAAGCGTTTAATCTCCAACATTTACAGGGAATTCATACAACTTAATAAAAGGAAGGTAAACAATCCAATCAAAAAATGGGCAAAGGACCTAAATAGACACTTTTAAAAGAGGATGTAAAGAAGGCCAAAAGATACATGAAACACACTCAAAGTCACTAATCATCCGAAAGATGCAAATCAAAATGACAATGAGGTACCATCTCACTCCTGGTAGAATGCCTATCACCAACAAATCAGCAAACGAGCCGAGACCGGTTTGGCTCAATGGATAGAGCGTCGGCTTGGGGACTGAAGGGTCCCGGGTTCGATTCTGGTCAAAGGCATGTGCCTTGGTTGCGGGCATATCCCCAGTACGGAGTGTGCAAGAGGCAGCTGATCGATGACTCTCTCTCATCAATGTTTCTAACTCTCTATCTCTCTCCCTTCCTCTCTGTACAAAATCAATAAATTAAAAAAAAAAAAATCAGCAAACAATAGCTGGTGAGGATGCAGAAGAAAAGGAACCCTCGCCGAAACCGGTTTGGCTCAATGGATAGAGTGTCGGCTTGGGGACTGAAGGGTCCTGGGTTCGATTCTGGTCAAGGGCATGTACCTTGGTTGCGGGCATATCCCCAGTAGGGGGTGTGCAAGAGGCAGCTGATCGATGACTCTCTCATCGATGTTTCTAACTCTCTATTTCCCTTCCTCTCTGTAAAAAATCAATAAAATACATTAAAAAAGAAAAAGAAAAAGAAAAGGAACCCTCGTGCACTGCTGGTGGGAATGCAACTGGTGCAGCCGCTGTGGAGAACAGTATGAAGTTTCCTCAAAAAATTAAAAATGGAACTCCCATTTGACCATTTGACCCAGTGATCCCACTTCTAGGAATATAAGAAACTAGAAACACCAATCAGAAAGGATGTATGCACCCCTATGTTCAAAGCGGCACAACTCACCATAGTTAAGATTTGGAAATAGCCTAAGTGCCCATCAACAGATGAGCAGATTAAAAATCTGTGGTACAGCTACACAATGGAATACTACACTATGGTAAAGAAGGAGTTCTTACCATTTTCAACAGCATGGATGGAACTGGAGAGTATTATGCTAAATTAAATAAGCCAGTTGGAGAAAGATAAATATCACACAATCTCACTAATTTGTGGAATATAGTGAACAACATAAACTGATGAACAAAAATAGAGTCAGGGGGGGAAATATTCTAGAATATAATAGAATTAATCCTGTTATTTGCAGATTTTTATTTTATTTTTTTAAAATATATTTTATTGATTTTTCACAGAGAGGAGGAGAGAGGGATAGAGAGCTAGAAACGAGAGAGAAACATCAACCAGCTGCCTCTTGCACACCTCCTACTGGGAATGTGCCCACAACCAATGTACATGCCCTTGACCGGAATGGAACCTGGGACCTTTCAGTCCGCAGACCGACGCTCTACTACTGAGCCAAACCGGTTTCAGCTATTTGCAGATTTTTAATATTTCCTACAACTTTTGTGATCATACTATGTTAATACAGTTTGGGTAATATTATAATTAAAATCCTTTTATTATTGAACTATTAATGTTTATTGCATGAAATATTATTATATGGGTGTAAGATCATTTTTCTTGAATAACTGGTGTTTATTGCATGTAATATATTTAAAATAGTTTTTCTTGAAATAAAACTGAAAAAAATACATATGTAACCATAATACAATTAACACATTTAAAAAAAGGACAATTATTCCTTATCATCAGGTAGAATGGATTGTTTTAAAAATAGTATAAAGGTGGCCAGCATTTCCCCTGAAATCTGAAATCTAAGGGGAAATTAGATCTGGATAACTTTTAGAAAGAAGGGGTCTAAAACTCAACTCTTCATACCCCAGGTGGGACTTGAACCCAGAACACCTGGTATAGGAGGCCAATAGCCTTATCCATTAGGCCATCACACCACTATACCACTAGGGACTGCATGAGTGTGTACAGCAATAGTCTTAGACCAATTTCTCAATCATCTCTTCTGGTTTCCTGCAGGTTACATTCAGTCTCCAAGTTCCGTCCCAGCCCTTCTACTGCCCTCCACTTCCGCATTGGGTCGGCACTCCCTCTCGGGTGCTTCCCACCAGAGCCTCCTCAGGTTAGAGGAGACTGCGCACTGGACGGCAGGCCTCAGGTCACCTCACTGGATTGGGATGTGCTCCTCACTGAGGGTCCAGGAAGTCAGGGGGACGATCCCAGAGTGACCCTCCCCCCTCCTTTGAGAGAATCTGGGCCCGGGTCATTAGCTGCAGGAAGGTAACGCAGCTTGTAGGACTAAGGGGAGGGCGGGATCAGTGCCTGAAAAGTTCAGGTCTTTGTCTCCATTCTACTCCCCTCATTGCCCCTTTGGTCCCCAGTGCTGCCTGGGCCAGGCCTCCGCGGTTTTCAGCAGAGCCCGATGCCTTAGGCCTTTGTCCTCAGGATTTCCATAACGGCTCCGGCTTCGGCTCCGGCTCCGGCTCCGTATCCTGTTCCCCCTGCCAGCCAGCTGAGGCTGAGAGAACCCAGCATTTACTTCCTACCGTAGGACGGGTGTTCTTTCTCATCTTTAAAATGTTTATTTTAAAGACGTTTTTCTTCTTTATATTTACGAGCCCTCAATAAACCACTGAAACATCAAAATTATAAGAGAGAAAGTGACATGATGCATGACCCAGGCCTGGGTGCCATTCCCCCAGCGGTTACCCTGGGGTGGGGGGAGGGTGCCGTCACCTCGGCCATTGGCCAGAATCCTTCGGAGAGAACTCCCTCGCAAAGGTAGAGACATTTTTCCTGGGCAGGATGATGGCTCAATCCTGGGCATACTCTTCATTTCAATTTTAAAATATAGGGTGTCCCCAAAAATATATCCACAGATTCAATCCAGTTTGAATAATTATTAATTGGAATTAATAATTATTCAAACTGTGTGTAGATTTTTGGGGACACTCTGTATACCTTCACATAGTAATTGAAGGGTACATTCAGTGTAAGAAATTTAAGTAATCTATTACATTTTTAATAATTTTTTATTGTGGTAAATATATTTGTATATATATAGTTAATTTGCCATTTTAACCATTTTTAAATGTACAATTCAGTAGTATCAGTTACAGTCACATATTGCGCAGCCATTGCCATTTCCAAGCCTTTTTCGTCACAATAATCTCATATATCCAAATGCATCCTGGGGCAACTCCTCTCAACAGTCCGAATCCTCCAGGGCAGTTATATTTTACGTAACCAATTCCCGGTAGGATCCCTGATCCCACCAGCAGGTAACTAACTCCGTGCTCTTAGAGGGGAAAACATTAAGCGAGGGAGAAAAACCAACCTCGGCAGCGACCACGAAGGGACTTGAACCCTCAATCTTCTGATCCGGAATCAGACGCCTTATCCATTAGGCCACGCGGCCCTGTGAGAAAGGCTCTGTTCGGCTTTTTCCATAAAGCTTGTCTGGGCGCCTGCGTGGTGCGCATCGCTCGCGCTCGGAGTGAATAGGAGCTCTGCCCCCTCCCCACCCCCACCCCCTCGGGCTCCGTGTGGGCGGGGCTCCGGTCTGGGCTGTAATTCAGCACCAAATTCCAGACCTAATCAGACCCCCAGGCCCCTCTGATCGCTTTCCCCGATCGCTTTCCCCGCAGGCTCCCAGCTGGCGCTGGTCAGGAGCTGCGCGCTGCTCCCCCCACCACCGTGCGTTCCCGTCACAGCACCGCTAACCCGCGATGCTTTGCTCCAAGCCAGTGGCCTGATCTGGACTCTGACAGTCCTGAAGGCAGAGGCCAAGTCTGCAGCGGAGCCCAGCACCTGCTGTGATGCCCCGTTTACGGATGAGGTAGCTGCCGAGTGGATGGAGGCGGAGGCGGCACTGGGTGCGGCCCCTCAGTGGGCACAGCTGGGCGGCTGAGTCAGGCCTGCAGGCAGAGCCGGCGCCGCAGGGAGCTGCGGATCTCCAGGCAGGCCTTGCGGCTCTCGCTGCAGTCAGGACCCCGCACATCCAGCTCACACACCCGCTGGTTGACCTGCGTGGACCACACAGCCTGTGCCCAGGTCCCCTGGTGCCCAGCCTGGCACCCAGTGTAAGGCCTAACGTTTCCAGAGCTGCCTTGGTATCTTTGGACCTCACCCTGCTCTTGTCAGATATATCCCTGACCCGGCAGGAAAGGCTCCCCACCCAGCTAGTTCCCCCACCAGCCAGACCAGCTGCACTCCACCCCAGCTGCAATCTGAGGGGCTTCAGTTCCCTGCCAGCCTGCAAAACTACTCAGACAAGCCCATCACCTCCTCCTGCGGGTTCACGCTGCTCCTGAGTGCAACCCGGAGTGGCCCTGCCCAGTGTACGCCCCCAAGCCGTGAGTGCATGACTAACAGCTGCTGTGGGTGTCCTGTGCTCGGCCATCCCGTATTATTGAGGTTGAGGGCTCCCTCCCTCACCAGCGGGGTGCATAGGAGGGGAGCGGGACACCAGGGCTAAGAAGGATGAATCTGGCCTCTCTCCCCTCATGCCAGCCCCCCTGCCCCAACACACCTCAGTCAGCAGCTCCAGGAGGTCTCCCTCGGGGGCGGCTCTGAGGACCTCCACCAGCGTCTGGATAAAGTCTGAGCCCTTCTCGTCCCGATAGGCTACGCAGCCTAGGCCAGAGGACCGGGCGGCGTGTCAGGCTCGGGCTGACCCGCCGCCTTCCAGTACCGGGGGCCTACTGATGGTGGGAGTGGGGCTGGTAGACAGGACCCTGGGAGTCAGGCAAGCAAATGGGGCAGGGAGCAGGAACATCTCGTTTCTGAAACAGGTCGCTCTCGATGTTTGCCGAATGAATACACGATAACTTCAATATTAAACAAGCATTCGCTGTGACCGTCCCATTTGCTAGGCCCTGCGAAGGGCCCTGGCAGGCAGAACTGCCCTGCCCTCGTGAAGCTTACAGCCCGGAGGGAATGAGGCAGGCACAGTGCTTGGCGCAGTCAGCCCACGTGTGCTCACCAGCATTACTATTATGATAAATAATAAACACGCAAGGAAAACGACCCAATCGGAATCAGAGGGATGCCACTCGTGTCAAGCCCCCGCTGCCACTACAGCCACCCCTGACCTCTGGCCAGGCTGGGTCCCGGGGAACGAGGCTCCTTGACGACCCCTCCCCTTACCCTCGGCTGCCGCATAGGCCACCAGGATGTCCGCTTGGTCACAGCTCCCTGGCGTGGGGCCCCCAGAGGAGCTGCCTGCAAGAGCGATCAACTCCATTTACTCAGCATCCCGGGACTCCACATCCCTGGGGCCTCCCTGAGTTTGGCTCAAGGGCAGCACACGGCAGTGGAAAGAGTGCCGAGCAGGAAAGACAGATCAAAGTTCAAACCTCAGCCCTGACACTTACCAGCTGTATGACCTCAAAAAAGCTATTTCACCTTCTTAACTCCAGGGTTGTTTCAAGGCTCAAGTAGGGAAGAAGCCCTTGTGGTTTCAGATGGGTTTTCTTCCCATCTTCTTGGCAAAGAGAGAACAGAGGCGGCAGCAGGACCCCAGCTCAGAGCCCTCCACCCTCCATCCCCCTTACACACACACACACACACCAGCCCTGCCCAAGGCCAGGCTCCAGAAGGAGACAGACCCACCTTGGGCATCTGCATAGATCTGAAGGACATCAGCGTGGGAGGGCGTGGCTGGTGGGGCCCGCAGCCAGCGCCAGAACCAGGGGAGGGCTGTGGGCCCCAGGCCCACATCCCTGTGTCCTGGGGAAGGAAGGACAGGCAGGTCCTTTCATTCAGCAGATCCTGGAGGTGCCTCCAGGGGTCCAACCCTCAGCCCCTAGAACTCCAGAGCAGGTCTGCCAGGCTGGAAACATCCAGAGCACTGAATGAAAAATGCTGAGGGTGCTGAAACTGGTTTGGCTCAGTAGAGAGAACTTCAGCCTGCGGTCTGAAAGGTCCCAGGTTCGATTCCGGTCAAGGACATGTACCTGGGTTGTGCGCACATCCCCGGTAAGGAGTGCGCAGGAGGCAGCTGGTCGATGTTTCTAGCTCTCTATCTCTCTCCCTTCCTCTCTGTAAAAAATTTAAATAAATAAATAAATAAATAAATAAATAAATAAATAAATAAAACAATTAAAAAAAAAGAAAAATGCTGAGGGTAAAGTTCATGGACTTGACCTCTAGGAAACACTGAGAGAGGGGGCAAGAGAAGGGCTAGTGCTCAGGCTTCCGGAGCAGGTGGACTGGGTGAGAAGTCTAGGCCAGGAGTCAGGCTGGAGGCTGACCCCAGGGTCGGCCCCAGACCCACTCACCACCGCGGCAAGCCTGAAGCAGGAAGATCTTGGGACGGCCCCGCAGGGCCCTGCAGCGGCTCAGCTCCTGCACCAGGGCCTCTGGCTGCACTTCTCGCCCATCAGCCCCCAGCAACTGCCCCTGAGGCCCCCCATGAGCCATCAGGGCCACAAGGGCACAGCTCACGGGGCTCCTGCGGGTGTCCAGCCGCTCCCGGAACTGGGCCAGCTCCCCCTGGAAAGCCTGGGGTGCAAGGAGATTGAGCCCGGGGTCAGGGCCACTGCCTTCCCAGGACTTGGAAGCCTTCAGCCCCACCTACCCTACCTCCCACCCCTGCCAGCCTCAGGATCAGGAAGGAAGTCCTTCTGACACATGCAAAGCCTGGCATGGAGGTGACAGACATGTGGTTGGCTCGGTAGCTGGGTCTCTGGTGCCAAAAAAGTTAAGAGGCATGAGGGGAGGACAGTGAGCTGGTGAGTTTTGGGAAGGAACCTGAGACCCTTCCAGGGAAAACCTGAGGGACCAACTGGGCAGTGGCGTAGCGAGGGGGGTGCCGAGAGGGCCATGGCCCCGGGCGGCGTATCAAAAGGGGCGGCGGCAATCACCATGATATTTAAATTTTAAAAAATATAGGTATATGTAAAACTGCAAATCGCGCCCGCGCTGATTCAAGCCAAGCAGACCACGAGGGTGCGGAAAGGGGGGCAGGTGAAGCAGGTGGTGCAATAGAAATTTTCGCAGATGTTTTTAAATGGGGGGCGGCAAATTTCCGGTCGGCCCCAGGCGACGAAAGCCCACGCTACGCCACTGCAACTGGGGCCTTGCAAACTGCCAGCCTGGGAAGCCACAGGAGCCCCAAAGAGCAGGCTTCCGGGACAGGGATTCCCAGTGCAGGCAGCAGAGGGATGGGGCTTCCGCCCACCTCGGATGAGAGGCCCAGGAGAGGGTGCCCGGGGTCCGGGGGTGGGGGTACGCCTTTCTTTAGAGCAGCACCAGAGGTTCTGGGCTTCCCCTCACCTGGGCTGTGGGGTCTGTCCTCAGGGTGGTCTCGAAGCCCAGGGTCTGGCACAGGCCCCCCAGTGCCTCCACATCACGCTGGGCCCCGGGCCGGTCCCGGATCACAGCTAGCAAGAGGGCAGCCCTGTCTCTGGACAGGTCATACTGAGCACGGGGGCCGGGTTCCGGCTATAAACAAGGTAAGGAACACTGAACGTACTCACCGGACTTCCAACTCCTGTGTCCCCCTCCTCCCTGAGCCTCTGTCCCACTGGCCCCTCCTCCTGCCTCCTTACCTCAGGCCCCCAGGGCTCCACATCCCCCAGGCACAGCGCACCCCGCAAGGAGCTCCGAAGGACTGGGCAGTGGGCGGCCCCGGAGGACTCTCCAGCTGTCCTGCGGAAGACCTGGGGGGTGGAGCCACAGGGTCCTCAGGGGCTGCTCCATGGGGGCACGGTGACAAGAGAACTGGTTCCAAGGAATGACTCGACCAGACGCATAGCTACTATTGTCTCTTTGGGCTCCTCTGCCAGTCAGAGGGAGGAGGACACAAATGACAGGGGGGTGGGGGGGGGCTACAAGGAGAGTTCTATTTCAGGCTCAAGGTCATATGCTTCCCTGGACGTGGATCACACAGTGGCCATGCCATTAACCACTGCCTTTCGAGGAAAGGCACCAGGCTGGAGCACCCCTCATGTGCAGGGTCACCCAGGGCCACCCAACCATCCAGTGGGATCTTTGGGTGTTGGAACTAGAACTGAATCATTCCCAACCCTGCCTTCCAGGGACCACAGTCTGATGGAATAGTCACTGCCTGGGTGTGAACTGGGGTGGGCAGAAGTATGAGCGTTGACTCAGGGAGAGTGAGAGAGGGTACTGCTGGCAGCCTGGGGCTGTGTGAGGCTTACCGGGACAGCAGGCAGGGCATGGCAAGCGGAGGGAGCAGCTGGAGCAAAGGGGTGGGGACGGGAAGATGTCGGAGTGGGTGTGAGCCAGGGCATGGGTGGGGGGTGAAAGGCGGGGCCATGTCTACCATGTGTGTAGACAATGAATTGTAGAATAGTATTGTACAATGGATGGCTGGGAAGCATGTGAATGCATCTGGCAAAGCCCCCTCCCTGGGACTCCCCATCTGGGGCCCCCACCTCTGTCAGCAGCTGCAGCAGGGACCAGTGAGGACAGCGGCCACAGAGTTCACTCAAGCCAGTGAGGAAGGTCCCGGGCTTGGGGGAAGCTGGGTAGAGAAGTACAACATTGGCCTGAAGGGAAGGTCTTGGCCTCCTGTCCACCCCCACCCTCCATCTTCTCTGCCCCACAGTTGGGGTCCCTGACCAGCCACTCACCCCCAGGAGCACTTGAGAGCAGCAGGAAGACTTTGGGGCAGCCCCGCAGGGCCTCACAGCCACTCAGCTCCCGAACCAACTTCTGTGGCTGCCTCAGCTGCCCACGGGGGGCCACCAAGGCCACTAGGACACAGCCCGCAGGGGCCCTGTGGGCATCCAGCTGCTCCCGGAACCCAGTCAGCTCCTCAAGGAAGTCCTAGAGCAGGAGTAAGAGGGAGGCCTGGGTCTGGGGAGGCCCCGGGTGGGGCTGAGGGTGGAAGCAGCAGGCAGGGTAGGGCTCACCTGGACCGAGGCCTCCCTCCTCGGGCAGCTCTCAAAGCCCAGGGCCTGGAACACACTCTCCAGGAGAGCCACTGTAGAGGCCGACACCTCGGGGCTGCTGAGAGTCAAGGCCACCCTTGGACCCTGCACGCTGTACTTCCCCTGGGAAGGGAAGGCCAGAGTTGGGCAGGGTGGGGCTCAGCTGGGAGCCAGGAGTGAGTAGGGCCAGGCAGTGCCTCCCAATACCTTTCTTCTCAGGCTGTCTTGAGCATCTGCTATCTGTGCGGCCATCCGCAGGGTCCCGGACACCAGGAAGGCCATGGATGCCAGGTGGGCACTTCCTCTGGGCCCAGAGCTCACCTCCAGGCCCCAGCGCCAATGCCTTGGGTCTCAGTACTTGCCCTCTCCCTGGTCCCTGACCTATCAGCTGTTTATGAGCTGAGCCGGACTCTGTCCCCTCCCTTGGAACCTTGGATCCTGGGCCCCATTCCTTGCTCCGTTCCTCGGGAATCGCAGGCTACTTCCTGGCTGGCACTGACATGCCCCTGCCCAAGCCAGGAGCCTGTGCCCAATGCTATTCTTAGCTCCTGGGCCACCTCTTATCTGATTTTGTTACACCCGAGTGTCTCCCTTCTGAGCCAACCATCAGCATCAGGTGCACTACTCCTGCCACCTCTCACCCTGCTCACTCAGGCAAGATGCCCACACACATGCACACAGCAGCCTCAGGCACTAAAGTACAGAGAGTGAGGGGCACTGTCTCAGAGGTAGAACCCTCAACTGGAGTCAGCTGTCCACGGTGAGACCCCAGTTGCTTCATCTGGGAAGTGGGGTCTGTCCCAGATCAGTGGTTGAGCATTGATTGATCTCTGAACCAGGAGGTCACGGTTCGATTCTCAGGCAGGGCACATGCCCGGGTTGTGGGCTTGATCCCCAGTGTGGGGAGTGTAGGAGACAGCCTATCAATGATTCTCTCTCATCACTGATGTTTCTCTCTCTCTCTCCCTTCCTCTCTGAAGTCAGTAAAATATACTGACTGGCTGAGAAAAGGCCCCGGGGGCACACAGACCAAGGAACGGAACGGAACATCTCATCTCAGCCAGCCCCACCTCTCCTCAAGTGAGCCTGCTGAGGCCGCCCCTGGTGAACTGGGAAGGGCGCAGCAGGGATGGAAGGAGCTGGCATGAGCCCAGCAGCTACAGGCAGGCCCCAACCTAGGGTCTGGGCATGCGAGTGGCCAGATGTCAAGGGCTGTGTGGGGGATGGAAGCAAGGCCTTCTCCCTGATATATCTGAACACTGGCACCAGCAGGAGCACACCACCACCCTGACCAGTAACCTGTCTCCCAGCCTGTTTCCCGTTTCTCCATGGGGAGAAAGGGAATGGCCTGGCAAAGACCCCGAAGTCCTGTTCAGCTGGCCGTCTCTTCCTGAACTGGCCCCAGACCGGGACAGACACTGACCACTCAGGGGGACCAGAGTCTCAGGGCTTACACCCGAGTGTCTCCCTTCTGAGCCAACCACCAGCATCAGGTGCACTACTCCTGCCGCCTCTCACCCTGCTCACTCATGCAAGATGCCCACACACATGCCCTTTGGGGCCCAGCTCACCTGGAGGCCAATGTGGCTCCACCTGGTAACCGCCCAGCACCGTGTGCGGATAGGACTGCCAGGTCAGGAGACCAAGGGATGCAGATTCTAGGCTCCCCTACCCACAGCCACCTCAAGAACAGACAGCCGAGGAGCTTTCCACGTTTATTCAAACCCTCTTTCTGCCCTTCTGGGGCAGGCGGGGCTGAGCTCCTTTGGAAGCCTGTGGTGTGTCCCTGTGAATGCCACTCTGCAGACGATGCAGACTACATGGAATGCAGTGCCTAAGGACTCAGTGACAAAGTGCTGACAGAGTGCTAGTGTTAAGTACTATAAACCCCACGTCTCTGGAGGGGAGTGTGGGAGCAGTGGGCTTCCACTGGCCCTGATCTTGGTCTGCACAGACCTCCAGTCCCTGGAGCTACCACTAACCTCGGCAGAGGATGGCTCTCGAGGGGGAAGTTGGCACAGATCAGTAGCATGTTGCCAGGATAGGGCAGTGTGGATGGGGCAGAAGTGGGGGCCAGAAAGCCCTTTTGGCCCCACGGAGGGCCCCGAGCTGCACAGATGTGGGCTGACGAGTGGTCAAAGCCTGTCCTCCGCTCTATGGGAAGGCACAGGTAGGCAGGGCAGAGGGCCTGGCCCATGGACCCAGCCAAGAAGGCAGGGAACAGGTGGACCCCGGGTCCTGCCCAAATTCTCACACTTCCCTGCTGCCTCAGTCTTTCTCCCACGCCAAGGCCACCTGCCAGGAATGTGGTGGAGCTCCGGGAAGTCAGAGGCAGGAGAAACCCCCAGAATGGCTGCGAGGTCATAGGGGATTTCCATCACTTGGTTGTGTGGACCAGGTCCTGGGGCAGAGCAGGGCAGGGCAAGGCCGTAGGGGTGGTGGCTGCAGAAGGTGGCAGCAGAGAGAGGTGGCCATCCTGCTGCTCCGTCTCCCAGAACACCCTCCAGGCCTCACCCCACGGGCTGGGCCATCTTGGCATGCAGGCTCTGGTGGGCGATGAGGTGGGCGCGCTGCTTGAAGCTCTTGTCGCACGCTCCGCAGCGGAAGGGCCGCTCGCCGGTGTGCACGCGCCGGTGGTCCAGCAGGTAGGAGCGCAGCGAGAAGCTCTTGCCGCAGTCGCTGCAGCTGAAGGGCTTCTCGCCCGTGTGGATGCGCTGGTGGTCCGCCAGGTTGGCGCTGCGGCTGAAGCTCTTGCCGCACTCGGAGCAGGAGAAGGGCTTCTGGCCCGTGTGCACGCCCCGGTGGCGCATCAGGTCCGAGGAGCTGCGAAAGCGCTTCTCGCACTCCGGGCACTTGTGCGGCTTCTCGCCCGTGTGCGTGCGCTGGTGGCGCGCCAGGTCTGAGCCCCAGCGGAAGCGCTTGCCGCACTGGCCGCAGCTGTGGGGCTTCTCGGCTGCCAGGTCCCGGAACGGGCGCCTGCAAGGGGGCGGCCGCCCCCGCCGCGGCCCCAATGCTGGCTCCAAGAGCGACCCTGGCCCGGCCTCACTCTCCCAGGGTTCGGCCTCCTTGGGGCTCCAGGCCACAGTCACATCGCTGCCCGCCTGGCCGGGGAGCGCCCTCACTGCCTCCTCCAGCGGGGATCGCCCCCTTTGGCTCTTGAGCCCCAAACCTGCAAGAGGAGGAGGTGGGCTCTTTAGTCCCATTTGGTCTGGGCTCGGAGCTGAGGCAAGGCAGAAACAGGGCTCAGTGGCAAGCGCCTTGGCTGGCAGGTTCAGAAACTCCTGGGCTGGACAGACCCGAGCCTGTTTCCTCCTCCATAAGATGGGGGCGTGATAAAAGGCCGGCAGAGAGGGCAGGGGCAGAGGCAGAGGCGAGGAGTCTGCTGATCCTGCCCCAGAGGCACTAATTATACATCTAACCAACCTATGCTTCCCTCCCATAATAGGATCCAACTCCCCTCTCTCTGAACCCTAGCAATTCAAACCTCAAAACTTAAGCAATTAAGGCAAAGTTTGTCCATGATCCAAACTCTCACTAATCATCATCAGAAACAGGACTCACAGGAGCTCAGCTACCATGTACCTCTCACTACACAAACCCTTGTCTTTTTTTGTAAACTTAAAAAAAAACACATTTTTTTTATTGGTTTCAGAGAGAAAGAGAGAAAGGGAAGGAGGTAGAGAGGGAAAGAGGGGGAGAGAGAGAGAGAGAGACATCAATGATGAGAGAATCATTGATAAGCTGCTTCCTGCACCCCCTACTGAGGATCCAGCCCAGATCTCCTGGTGCATGGGGGACCCTCAACCACTGAGCAACACCTGCTGGGCCATGCTCTTGTCCTCTAAACTCAAAAACAAAGTTGGATCCAGAGGGATCCCAACCCACCACACCGAGTCGTGTAGATTATGTGCGATGACCCCCAAGCAGAGCTCAGAAAGGTCCTGGCCTGGAGAGGGTCCAGGGAGTGTGGCCCTACTGCACAGGCCCAGGCCCTGGGGCTCAGCATGTGCTTTCACTGCAGCACCTCTCCCCAGTGCAGCCCGGAGGGCCCTGCGAACACCATTTGGACTGAGTCCCGACTCTGTCCCTTTGGTGTCCATTGACCTGAGGCTCTGGTCCCTTGTCTATAAAAAAAGAACACCTTTATGTACTGGGCGGTGAGACCCACATGAAAAAATGTCCGTCTGAGTGCTCGGCCAGTGCTAGTGTGTTGCAAGCACCCACCATATATTAATACACGTTCAAAGGCAAAGCAAAATGAACATTAACACACAAAAATAAACCAGCATGGGCTCTTGAAGACAGGCTGGAAAGCCCACTTTGGAGCTAGCTGAAAGGGAGTGAGGAGGAAGACTGAGGAATCCAGCAGGCAATGCAGCCTGCCTGGACCTTCTCTGCTGCTGGGACCCCCAAGGAGGCTACTGCCTCCAGCTCAGAGAGACCAAGGACTCCGAGGGTCCTGGCTGCACCTACTGCTTACCCACAGCAACGTTCCGGGAGTTTTCCCGCTTTATGTCCCAGAAAAGATCCCGCTGAGCAGGGTCCAGGGACCCCCATTCTTCCCGGGAGAAATAGAAGGAGATGTCTTCAAATGCCACAGGTCCCTGAAACGAGGTGAGAAATCCCGCTCAGGGATGCCTTGCTCAGGACTCCCCTGGCAGCGGAGAGGAAGAGGGCTGGGGTGGGGAACAGGATGGGCCCAAGCAGGAGCAGGATGGATGGGAGAGCCTTTGAGAAGGCGAGGCCCATTCAGAGTCATCAGTGCCAGTGGCCTCAGGGGGGACAAAGGGACTGGTGACTTACACGGATCTCAGAGGCAAAGTCGGCATTCGTTTTCTGTTTAGTACTCCCCTCTTTAGGGAGAGCAGGAAGCTGGGCTGGAAGAAAAGAACAAAGCTTCAGAGAGGCCAACTCAAGCTAGATATGAAACCCCATACACACACACACACACACACACACACACACAGGCACGCCTAAGCTTCACAGGACAAGTGCCCTTCCTGGTACCCTCAGGGCAAAGCTGGGGAAGGAGCTTACTCACCACCACGGCCCTGCTGCTCCCGGGGCGCAGGCGGCTGGTTTTGTGCCCCCGCCTTAGGGGGAGGTCCCTTGGCCTGAGATCCCTGGACCGCAGCCTTGGGTTCCACCTCCTCTGAGGGCACATCCTGTGCGGGAACCACAACATGCTCATCAGCGCTGAGACCAGGCAGGGAAGACAGAGTTTAATCCCTGGGAGGAGACACAGGACATGTCCCTCACGAGGCTGGGGTCTGGGGAGACATCAACACAGGCCCAGGAAGATCCAGAGGAGAATGTGATACCAAGCAGTGCCATGCGCCCAGGGCACTCCCTGATCAAACACAAGGCAAGAACCAGCCCCGAAGGAGAGAATCCCACAGCTATTTAGGGGTCAAGGAGGAGTGGGGGGTGTGGGGGGTGGGGGGAAGGAGGCCTCCCTGTGAAGGACAAAACCCTTACCCCAGTTACTCAGCACTTCCCCAGATGCTTCCGGTGTCAAGGGCCCAACGCCTCACAGGACAGTAGGGTTCACATGTGCAGCTCTACCTTCTCATGCCCCCTCTGGTGCGCTCACTATGCACATCCCTGTATCCCCAGGGCCTGGCCCAGAGCAGAAAATGAGTAAACATTTGCAGAGCTCGTGTGGAGCTAAAACCTGCCTTTCTGGAACATGCTTCCAAGGCCACCAAAAAGAAACCAGATTCAGCCGAATCCGGTTTGGCTCAGTGGACAGAGTGTCGGCCTACGGACTGCAAAGTCCCAGCTTTGATTCTGGTCAAGGGCATGTTCCTTCCTTGCAGGAATGTCCTTGGTGTGTTGTGTAGGAGGCAGCTGATTGATGTTTCTCTCTCAACGATGTTTCTAACTCTCTATCCCTCTCTCTGTGAAAAATCAATAAAACATATTTTTTTAAAAAAGAAACCAGATTCATTTGGACAGTGTCTTTCAGATGAGCAACGCCCGTTATGGCATGCTCCTGTGGAAGTTCTCGCTGGCTCTGCGCCCCCACTGCCCCTGGATGTAGGAAAGATCCCTCACCTGCGGCCGGGTGTTCACTGGCTGCTTCTGCAGGTCCTCCACCAAGGCAACAGCTTCCTCGCCACTCTCAGGGCCCCGCTCCCGCACCCGGGCCTGGACACCCCCGGGCAGCACGCTCAGGAACTGCTCCAGCACCAGCAGCTCCAGGATCTGCTCCTTGGTGCGCAGTTCAGGCCGCAGCCAGCGGCAGCAGAGCTCCCACAGCTGGCTGAAGGCCTCGTGGGGCCCGCCCGAGTCCCTGTAGCAGAACTGCCGGAAGCGCTGGCGGCAGGCCTCCGAGTCCCTGCTGTCCTCTTGCTGGGCGGAATCCTGATCCCAGCAGGAATCTTCCACCTTCACAATCAGAAGCCCTTCTCCCTCCCCAGGGGCCTGGTCCTGAGGCTCCAAGGGGGCTGCCATTCTCCTGGACTAAGGCTCAGGGTTGGTGGGCCTCAACCCAGGAGCCTGCCCTTCAGTCTCCCAGAGGGACTCCCTGTGGCAACTGGGCCAGCATCTGGACACACGCGCCTAGGGAAAGAGCAAAACAGCAGGAGGGAAGAAGGCACATGAGCAAAACCAGTCTGGAGGGGCATCCAGGGGCTTTTGTAGGTTCTCCTGTAATGCCGTGCTCTCCCCCTACCAATACAGGCCTATAGCCCCTTATCCTCAGCTCTGAAGACCAAACCCCCAGGTTTATACCATCTGGCCTCCTCATCTGAGCATGTTTGTATTCTCCCTGTATCCCACTTAGTGTAAATGTTCATATATTTTACAGCAGAAATATTCACATATTTCAGTTTGTAAAAATCCATCAAACTGTTCTTAGAATGTCTATTTCTGTATGTGTATTATGGTTCAATAAATAAAATAAAAAAATTAACAGCCCTAACCGGTTTGGCTCAGTGGATAGAGCTTCGGCCTGTGGACTGAAGGGTCCCAGGTTCGATTCCGGTCAAGGGTATATCCCCAATAGGAGGTGTGCAGGAGGCAGCTGATCAATGTTTCTCTCTCATCGATGTTTCTGACTATCCCTCTCCCTTCCTCTCTGTAAAATATCAATAAAATATATATTTTTTAATTTAATAGGTTTGATTGAGTGTTGCCCTAGATTCTGCTGGCAGGGGTTACTTGATATACTACTTGTACTGTATTATCTTTTTGAAATTTAAAAACTTCTGAATTCCAAACATCGTCTGGTCCAGGGGTGTCAGCAATGGGCTCACAGACATCATTCTAAGCCAGTGTTTCCCAAACTTTTGACATATGTGCACCCCTTCTATAATTTTCGTAACGCTGAGTACCCCTCGTACTATGAAAACGTAGAATTAGGTGCAGCTAAGCACAGTGCGTGCATATCCCCACCAAACTCCAGTGCAACGCGTACCCCCACCAGACTCTTCCCGAACCCCTGGGGGTACGCATATCATACTTTGGGAAACAAAGTGGACCTAAGCCATTAATCCACAGGTATGTATGAATGTATGTATGACATGTTATGCCTTACATTGCCATACAAGTCTTGAAAGAGTGTATTTTAGAACTTAGGTTTTTTGTTTCAATAAAGAAGTGATACCAACCATTGTAATGAAAGGGGGAAAGGATTAACCAAACAGAATACATAACTCTCCATTCGACAATGCAGTGCATCCTCCATTAAGTCACATAACTTCCCAGACCTTTCCCTAAAGTACTAATACATTTACTAAAAAGTACTTCTAGCCTAGACCGGTTTGGCTCAATGGGTAGAGCATCGGCTTGGGGACTGAAGGGTCCCGGGTTCGATTCCGGTCAAGGGCACGTACCTTGGTTGCAGGCACATCCCCAGTAGGGGGTGTGCAAGAGGCAGCTGATCAATGACTCTCTCTCATCGATGTTTCTAACTCTCTGTCTCTCTCCCTTCCTCTCTGTACAAAATCAATAAAAATATATTAAAAATAAAAAAATAAAAAGTACTTCTAGAAACGGAAAGTGTTTTGTGTGTGTGTTCACATAATGAGGTCTTATTGCACAGACTATTTTGTAATATGCTTTTCCACTTAACCTCTTCATTCGCCACTCGGGAAGATTTGGAGGTATGGACATACTCCCGTTTCTGAACCCTTACCCCAGGGAGGCATTCAGGTTGGTTCCAGTTCTTTTCTCTACGGCATACTGAGTACTTTATTCTGTCTTTTTAAATTATTTATTTATTTATTAGAGAGGATGGAAGAGAGAGAACCATGGGTGTGTTGTTCCACTTGTTTATGCATTCATTGGTTGCTTGACTGCGACCTGACCCGGGATCAAACCCGCAACGTTGGCGTGTCAGGGGGACGCCAACCAAACCAACCGAGCACTCCGGCAGGGCAAGCGCGTTACTCTTGTACTTCTCACAACTCCCCTGACAGGTACGCGCTCCACCCCGTCCTCCAGGGACCGAGGAGGAGGCTCCGCTCGGAGAGGGCGAGGGACTCACCAGGGTGGCTCAGCAGGACGCGGCAGGCGGGAACGCGGGCCGCCGGAGTCCCGTGCTGGATCCCCGGCAGCCTCGCCTGCGCGGAGCTGCGAGGCGGCGGGGCGGGCAGTGAGGGCGGGCGCCCGGGTTCCACCCCCCCTCCCCCAGCCCTTCTCAGAGGTGCACGCCCCCTTCGGCTTCTGCCCCACCCGCGGGGGGACCCGAGCTCCACCTGCGAGCCCAGCAGCCCAGGTCACACGTCCCGTCCCGGGGCCACACCTCCCACAGCCGCCTGGCGTTCCCAGGTCCGCTAGATTCTGGCACCGGAAGTCCGCGCGGAGCTCGCCGGGAAACGGCACGGCGCACGCGCAGCTCTAAGTACTCGGAACTACATCCCCCACAAGGCCGTTGGTCAGTGAGTCTGTTGGCCTCCACCGACGGCCAATGAACGGAGAGAGTTACCTCGCGCATCGACACCCAAGGCCAAGGGATGTGCTCTGCGTCTAGACTGGGGTAGTCCTTAGGCCAGTGTTTCTCAAACTTCTCTCATGATGAGAATCACCTGGTGGAATTGTTAAACTACAGATTCCTGGATCCCAACTAAGTGCTAAACTAGAATTTTTGGGAACATATAGGTAAAATTGTATACTTAACTAGTGATACAATTTTACCTATATGCTCCCCAAAATTCTAGTTAAGTATACAATTAGCACTAGTTAATAGTGCTATTAGTTAAGTATACAATTTTACCTACATGTTCTCAAAAATTCTAGTTTAGCACTTCTTAGTTGGGATTCAGGAATTTGTATTTTAACAATTCCACCAGGTGATTCTCATCATGAGAGAAGTTTGGGAAACACTGCTCTACGCTAATCCTTCAGACTTCTCAGCTCTGCGGACTCCTGAGGAGCGTGGAGCTTTCTAGGAAATGCAGTGAGGGGCGCAGAGCCTCCTGCGGCTCTTCTCTGCCCCCGAGGGTCGGCCAGAGTTGGCGTACAGGACTCGGCAGGCGGTGACTCTGGCCTCAGAAAGCCCCGCGCTCTCCCACCAGCAGCTTCGTCTCTGGGGCGGCGGGGATCCGGGGCCAGGGAGAAGCTAGAGCAGGTGGGCCGGGCCGTATCCGGGAACCTGTGGGTTCTCCTTTCCACGGGTTTGGACCTGCTCCCACACTCTCTACTTACTCCTCGACCTGGAGATCTGAGGCTCCAGATCTTTCTCTGAAATAGAAAAGGCTTTCTTGTTTTGATTATGCATGCTTAGTGTGGAAAAGAAAACATGGAAAATAATAAAGGTATGGAGATCCACAAGGTTAGCTCCGTCGCTTTGCTCAAATGGCTTTCCTTAACTCTGTATAATCAGCACCTACACACACACACCGCTCGGGCTCTGCCCAGCCTTCTTTTTCTTCCTTTTATTCAATACCTGACATATTTGTGTAATACCGTCTCTTGACTACAAGCTCCATGAGGTCACACTATTTTCATTGCCCTAATACTCCCAGCATCGAGAATTGTTTCTGACACAATATTTGTTGAATAACTAAAGGTTTAAAATATTTCTTTTTTTTTTTTCGGTTGATCTTTTTGTTTATTTGTTTGTTTGTTTTTTAAATAAATCTTTATTGTTCAGATTATTACAAATGTGATCCTCTTCCCCCCCTCAATTGCTCCCCTTCACCAGTTCCCACCCCACCCTCTGTCCTTTCCCCATCCCCCATTGTCCTCATCCATAGGTGCACAGTTTTTGTTCAGTCTCTTCACGCACCCCTACTCCCCTTTTCCCTGAGAATCGTCAGTCCACTCCCCTTCCATACCTCTGATTCTATTATATTCACCAGTTAATATTGTTCATCAGATTTTTAAATTCCCTTGGTTTTTAGATTCACTTGTTGATAGCTACGTATTTGTTGATCATAATTTTTATCTTTATCTTCTTCCTCTTCCTAAATAACCTCCTTCAGCAATTCATATAATTCTGGTTTGGTGGTGGTGAACTCTTTTAGCTTTTTTTTATTTGTGAAGCTCTTTATCTGGCCTTCGATTCTGAGTGATAGCTTTGCTGGGTAGATTATTTTTGGCTGTAGGTTCTTGTTATTCATCACCTTGAATATTTCTTGCCATTCCCGTCTGGCCTGCATGGTTTCTGTTGAGAAATCAGCTGACAATCTTATGGGTGCTCCTTTATAGGTCACTACCTGCTTTTCTCTTGCTGCTTTTAATATTCTCTCTTTGTCTTTTGCTCTTGGAATTTTAATTATGATATGTCTTGGTGTGGTCCTCCTTGGATTCCTTTTGTTTGGGGTTCTGCGGGCTTCCTGGACTTGTAAGTCTATTTCTTTCCCCAGGTGGGGGAAGTTTTCTGTCACTATTTCTTCTAGTACTCTTTCGGTATCTTGCGCTCTCTCTTCTGGAATCCCCATAATTCTGATGTTGGTTCGCTTGAAATTGTCCCAGAGGTTTCTTACACTATCTTCAACTTTCTGGATTCTCTTATCTTCTCCCTTCTGCAGAGGAGTGTCCTCTGGCTCTTTGTGTTCTAAATCTTTGTCTTGATTCTTGCGATCTTCCAGTCTGTTTTTAGGACTTTGTATAATATTTTTTATTTCAGACAATGTTTTCTTCATTTCTTGTTGATCCCTTATTATTTCTAGTTGCTCCCTTTTCATATCCTCATAGGTCTCATTTATTTTATCGGCCTTTTTTAGTATATTGTTGAATAACCTTATAACTGTAGTTTTGAACTCAATGTCCAATCTTTTCTTTTCCTCCATCTCCTTCCTTTGTGTCCTTCTTCTTGTCTGCATTTTAGTTGTTTCCTTGATTTGATGGAATAGCTTTGTGTGCTATGTGTTCTGGTAGAGCCCAGTAGCACAGCCTTCCCAGTTACCTGCAGTGGACAGTCTTGGTGTAGCCCTTTGTGAGCTGTGTGTGCAGTCTTGTTGTTAAGCCTTGCTTATTGTTGGTATCACTGGGAAGCGTTGATCTCCAAGCCAATTGGCTGTGAGGATCAGCAGTGTCTCAGCTAGGAGGGTTTCCGTACTCTGCTTGAATAGGGCGGGGTCTCGGGGTGGCGCAGACAATCTTTGGTTCCCTGTCAGTCTCGCCTTAGAAAAGTCCTTCACAGTTCCTGAGGTTCAGCGTGCCTTCTCTCTCCTTCCCAGATGGCAGAGCTTCCTCTCAGCCAGCCGTCTGGCGCTTCAAGGCAATGCCTCCCCTGTTTTTCAGTTCTAAATTCAAATTTGTTGTGGTAGGCTGCATTCGGATGTCTACCCTATGCCGCCATCTTGGTTTCTCCAGGTTTAAAATATTTCTAATAGAGCCATTCAGAAATAAACATTGTTAATAGTTAAATCTGTTCTTACAGTTCTACATCTACACGAATGTTTAAATATAAATCTGGAATAATTTGCTCAGGCCAGTGGCTCAGTTGGTTGGAGCGTGAGCCTGTGTACCAAAAAGTTTGTGGGCTGGTTTCCGGTCAGGGCACATAACCTAGGTTTTAAGTTTGATCCCCAGTTCAGGCACATATGGGAGGAAACTAATGGATGTTTCTCTCACATCAGTGTTCTTCTTGCTCTCTTTCTCTCTCTCTCTCTAAACAAAAAACATCCTCAGGTGAGGATAAATCTGGAATCATTTTATATAAGTAATCTTTTGTCGTTTTTTGTTTTTTCCTTTTTATTGAATCTATGGGGTTAACACAGGTTACTAAAATTATACAGGTTTCAGGTGCACAGCTCCATAATACATCATCTGTACACTGCATTGTGTGCTCACCATCCCAAGTCTTCCATCACCATTTACTCCCCCATGCCCTCCTCACCTCTCCCTCTCCCCAAGTAATGTTTTGTTGACTGAAAAGTCTATCAGATAATTTTTCCATATCAGCATTTATAAATAAAATAATGCACCTGTTTTTCTAGCTGCATATTATTCCATAGCATGAAAGGTGTATATTTTATTTAAAGCCCCTCTTACTCTTGGGCATTTAGTTTCCATTTTTTCTGTATTTCTACATACACTTTGCTGCAGTCCCTTGAGGAACTTGCTGGAAGACATGAACCAAGGCTGTTCTATCAAACAACTTACGTGATGTTACTGGGTTCCCCTCCCTCCACTGGCCTCATTGGAAAAGGACAAGGGGAAGCAGAAACTTGCAAGTCCCCCTTTTCCAAGAATGGCCTTATAGTGTTCTACCAACGCCCTCTAGTGGCAAAAACTGACGAGCAAAGGAGAAACGTCTGCAGCAGCGTTTTTCAACCGCTAGTGTGCCGCGAGATGTTGCCTGGTGTGCCGTAGGTGCAGACAAGACAAGAATTTTATAATTTTTCACTATTTTGTTTACTTAATATTTCATAATAAAGTAATTATAAAATACTTTCTTTGTGTTTATTTGATTCCTATTCAAGAGAATTACTTTATATATAGTTAATATAGGCACAGAGTTAAATTTTTTAACATTTTCTAATGGTGGTGTGCCTCGTGATTTTTTTCATGAAACAAGTGTGCCTTTGCCCAAAAAAGGTTGAAAAACACTGGTCTACAGGATCCAGGCGGCTTCAGTATCACAAAGGACAAAGTGAGTGTACTGGGGGCTGACAGACAAAGTAATAACTAGCTCACCTACCATATATTCTATTGGAAATTGCAGGTAGATGATACATTATTTTCACACAGGTATATAAAATTGACAAGCTAATTGAACCTTCTTTTCCTTCTGACAGTATTTTATTTTTCTAGCTAGAAAATATAATCTATAATAAAAAAGTAATTTATTTCCAAAAAATTACATTCATTTCCAGAATTTATATACATTATTTTCTTAGTATTATAGCATTGTCCAGGACTCCCTAAACTATGTTAGGGCAGCAGACATCATTCTCTGGGCTCATTAAAATACTTCTAATGATATACAATTGTCTATTGTTTGTCTCTTATACCCATGCTCTTATTAAGCAACATCTATTCTCATTTGTAGCAGAAAGACTACTAGTTGTTCTCTATATCAGTTTTCCCCTTCTATAGTAAGAATTTTTAGATGGCTCATGGCCATTTAGAAAGAAAAGTATATTTTCCAAGCCTCTCATGTAGCTAAGTATGGCCATGTAAATAAAGTGAAACCAATGAGATGTGAGTAGATGTGAGGTATGCATCGTATTGGAAAAGGATAGATCATGTCCCTAGTCTCTTTTACCCAACTGCTAGCAGGAATTTGGACATAGTGGCATGGACCTTGCAAATCAGAGAAACATCCAGAGGTGTCAAAGCAATAAGATGGACGGTGCCTGGGTTCCTGGTGACTGTGGAGCCACCAAACTAGGCCTGGACTTATACTCAGGAAGGTAATGTGAGAGAGAAAGAGATACCAAGTTTAAGCCACTGTTGTTTTGGATCTCTATTACAACCAGAATGTATACCTTATCTAGCACTACTGCCTACTAAGAGTTCTTTCATGAAAAAGAAAGCCTGGCCAATGTGGCTCAATGGTCGAGTGTCAACCCACAAATCAGGAAGTTGCAGTTGTGGGCTAGATTCCCCATTGGGGGTGTGCTGGCGGTGGCCGATCAGTGATTCTCTCTCGTCATTGATGTCTCTAGCTCTCCCTCTCCCTTCCTCTCTCTGAAATCAATAGAAACATATGTAAGAGGGGGGGGGGATAGCCCTGGCCAGAGTGGCTCGGTTGGTTGGGTGTCATCGTGAGCATCGAAAGGTTGCAGGGTTTGATTCCTGGTCAGGGCACATGTCTGGGTTGCAGGCTTGATCCCTGGTGGGGGGCCTGCAAAAGGCAGCCAATCAATGTTTCACCCTCACATTGATTCTCTCTCCCTCTTCTCCTCTGTGTTTTTAAAATTTAAAAAGTGTTTTTAAATTTCAAAATCAACATGTATATTTAAATCCATGGTTTGAGATCCCAAGATAGCACTTTTTTAAAAAAGGTATCTCAGTCCAGTTTTCTTTTTTCTCTTTCTTTTTTTAAATATATTTTATTGATTATTATTATTAATTAATTAATTTATTTATTTTTTTACAGAGAGGGAGGAAAAGGGATAGAGAATTAGAAACATCAATGAGAGAGAAACATTGATCAGCCGCCTCCTGCACATCCCCTATTACTGGGGATGTGCCCGCAACCAAGGTACATGCCCTTGACCGGAATCTAACCTGGGACCCTTTGGTCTGCACCCAACTCTCTATCATCCACTGAGCCAAACCGGTTTCGGCCAAGATGGCACTTTTATTTTTATTTATTTATTTATTTTTAAATATATTTTATTGATTTTGTACAGAGAGGAAGGGAGAGAGATAGTTAGAAACATCGATGAGAGAGAGTCATCGATCAGTTGCCTCTTGCACACCCCCTACTGGGGATATGCCCACAACCAAGGTACATGCCCTTGACCGGAATCGAACCCGGGTCCCTTCAGTCCCCAAGCCAATGCTCTATCCATTGAGCTAAACAGGTCCCGGCCAAGATGGCACTTTTAACGGTGGTGGAGTAGCAACAGGTTAGGAGTCTGAATCTCTTTTGACTTTGATTAGGGCTCCCACTCCAGTCTTGCCATAGGCTGCCTACCTCTGGCCCACCTCCAGACATTATCTTGAGAAATACCCTTCAGTCTCATTTAAGACCCTGATATTTTTGAGTCTTCTCTGTTATTTGGAGTTGAACTGAATCCTGACGACCTCATAGGGTCATTGTTTATATATATATATATAATTATTAATTTTTTACAGAGAGGAAGAGAGAGAGTTAGAAACATCGATGAGAGAGGGACATCGATCAGCTGCCTCTTGCACACCCCCCACTGGAGATGTGCCCGCAACCAAGGTACATGCCCCCGACCGGAATCGAACCTGGGACCTTTCAGTCCGCAGGCCGATGCTCTATCCACTGAGCCAAATCGGTCTCGGCCTCATAGGGTCATTGTAAGGATTACATAAATGAGAGTATACAAGTAGACGAGTATTAACTCAACACACAGTAAATGCTCAATAAAGAGTGGTTAGTCTCAGGGAGTTACCATCACCAGAAACTTGCCAGGAGCATAGAGTACCTGAGAAGCTGCAGGAGTCAGAACCCCTGGGCATCTTTTCCACTTTCCCCTGAAGATTTCAGCCCAACTTGCTCTGGTGGGTGGCCTGTTCCATTGTCTTAATCTTCATGGCTGGCCGTGAGCTTTATGCGTTGAGAACAGAAAAACTGGAGTGCTCCAGGAGGTGAGCGAGTGGCAGGTTCCCGAGTGCTGCATTTGGAACCCAGACAGGAAGGCTGCCTGACCCATGTCACAGGCTGGACCAGGAACGTGAGCACGAGGAAGGCCGGACCATCCTCTAACCTCCCGTTCTCCACCATCCAGGCAACACCAGGGAGAAGCCTCGGGCCACACCCTTCACCAGTCTCTCTTCTCTGGCTTCCCCTCCTTCTCACCAGGGTTGTCATTTCACCTCATGAAACGCCGGTCTCTTCTTGGCAGGGCCTTGATTTTGTTGGCTTCATTTTGTTTTCCTAGCTTGGAGGGTCTGCCCCCAAATTCTTATACAACAGCTTCTTGTCATTCTTCAAGTCTTAGCTTAAATGTTCCCTCCTTGCATGCGCCTTTCCTATCAGTTGCTAGCATCCTCCATTGCTTCACCTGTCCTTTCTTTCTGGCATTTATCACTACTGAAATTAATGTAGTATCTGCTTGCCAGTCTCCTCCACCAGGACCAACCCCATGAGCGCAAGGATCTTGTGTGGCCTTTTCATCGCTTATTCCTTGCCATTTAGCAAAGAATCCAGAATGCATTCATCTCATATTTAAAAATATGAATGAGTGAATGCAGCAAAGACCCTAGTTAATGTTTTCCCGCTTTTTCCTGCCCCCTCACCTCGCACCGGAGTCCTCAGTTTACCCACCCCCGCCCGAAAGGTCCCTTCTTGGGCAGGATTTCCCTGCCTGGCGCCATGGAAGAGTCAGCCAGCTTCAAGGTTGGATGTGGCCACCAGGGTCGGGCTCCCTGGGTCTTGGGGTAACAAGCAGGTGATGGGGGGCTCGAGCACGATGCCGGAAGTGGCCCTGGCCCTCCTAGGACAGCAGGAGGCTCGGTATCTCTGTGGTAGGCCCGAGGCCGGCCCTGAAGGCTCTGGGGCTGGCTGCGAAACCAGGAGTCCAGCCCCCAGCAGTTGGTTCCTTTTGCAACCGATGCCGGACTGAAGGGAAGGGGCAAGTTTCAAAATCGAGAGCGTCAGGCCCTAGCCGTGGGCTCAGTAGTTGGAGCCTCCGTCTTCCTCGTCCTTTGATTCCCGGTCACGGGTTGCAGGTGGGGGCATGTGCGGGAGGCAACCAATCGATGCTTCTCTCTTCTCTCTCTTTCTCTCTCTCTCTCTCTCTCTCTCTCTTTCTCTCTCTCTCTCTCTCTCTCTCTCTCTCTCTCTCTCTCTCTCTCTCTCTCTCCCTCCCTCCCTCCCTCCCTCCCTTCTTCCTTTCCACTCTCTCTAAAGATCAATGGGAAAAATATTCTTAGGTGAGGACCAACGAAGAAATCCAGAGCGTGGGGTCAGTTGCCCTAGCAACCCGCTGTGGCTTGCGGGCGCGGGGAAAACAACCACACAACGGTCCGCTCTTGAGAATGTCAGCCGTGATTGGCCGGTTTTCCTCGTGCCCGCCTCTCTCTCCGCCTACGCACTTGATTGGCTAAAGGCAGGAGAGGCGGGGCCTTCCGAGGCCAGTCCTCCTTGCAGGGAGGATCCCAGTGGTCGGCTCCCCGGCTCCCGAGACCCCGGCGGGTTTCCAGACCCCGACGTTGTGCCCAGGCCGTGGACCACGCGCCAGCCAGGACCTGTGTGATCCTGTGGCCGCCCAGGAGGAGGGTAGAGAGCCCAGAGGAAATGCTCTCCCTTCCCTTCGCCCTCCCGAAGGCGCAGGTGTAGGCCAATAGTGCGTAACCTAACCAGGTTGGGTTCTGCAGTGCCCTGAAGCTGGCATGGCAGGTGTGAGAAGCAAACCCCATCGCTACCCACACCCTGGTGTCCCCTCACCCCCGCCCGCTACCTCAGTGTCACTCCCTAACTCACCAAACCACCAGCACCCTTCACCCTAACATTCTAGGCCCTTCTACGATGCCCCAGCTACCTCCTCTCTCTTAGCTGCTCTTGTCAAATAGTTTCCAAACCGCCAAGTTCCACGCTTAGAATGCACTTGCCTGGCCTAGAATGCACCTGCCTGGCCGGTGCCAGAATGGTGATCTGTGGATGGACTTCAGGAAGGAAGGGAGAGCCAGGCGGGTCTTGGAATCACATCTCTGCCTCACACTATGAAAAGGGGAGACAGTTTCTCCTGGATACGGTGGTCTCTGAGCTTTTCATAGGCCAGAGTGAAATTTCTGACTCACCCAACAGACCTCCGAGTGGTTCAAGTCCTGACACCCCGGCTGTGCAGCCCAAGCAAATAGCCTCTGTGCAAATGAATATTCTGTGCTAAGCCTGTGCCCAGTGCTGACAGCTCCCAGTGTCCTTTTAAGTTGTCTTCTCATTTCTGTCTCCCCCCTGCATTAGAAAGCAAGCTCCCGGGACAGCAAGCCTGCTTTGTGTGCGTGAGCGCCGTCAGCCCCTCACGCTGAGCCAAGCAGAGAAATCCCATTTCTGGCTGGGACTGGAGCCATGAAGGCAAGCTGAAGGGAGGAAACTTTCTTTCTCACCAGGCCTGCCAGCAACTTATCCCTAGATCCCACCGAGGCCTCCCAGTCCTGCCTGGGCTCCTGTCAGCAGCAGCTTCCAGGCATCCCAATGATTATATGCTCCTCCCTCCCCCATCTCCAGCTGAGTCCAGCAGCCCAGAAGGTCAAGTCCACTCTCTTACTCTTCTTAGACGGCCCTGCCTCGTAATATCATGCATTAATTAGTCAATAGCTGTTGGGGTGCGTGGAAATAGGGGTATTCTTTACCTGGTAAAAGCCCTGGCCCTGAATCCAGCTTTCAGCTCTCCAGTTGTATGGCTTTGGGGAAGTTAGCCTTTTCTCCCAGCCTCCATTTCCTCATCTATAAACCTGGGATAAGCCATAGCCAGTTTGGCTCAGTGGATAGAGCATCAGCCTGCAGACTGAAAGGTCCTGGCTTCAATTCTGGTTGGGGGCACATGTCTTGAGTTGTGGGCTCGATTCCCAGTGTGGGACATGCAGGAAGCAGCCAATCGGTGATTCTCTCTCATCACTGATGTTTGTCTCTCTTTTCTCCTCTCTTCCTCTCGGAAATAAATTTTAAAAAGTAATGTTAAAAAAACGAACTGGGATAAAACCCACTCCTCAGTGTTGTGGAGAAGAGGTGACATATATATAGTACTTGGTCCCAGGCCTGGCAGGGCAGCTGCTCAACAACGGGCAGCTATTATTACTATCCCAGTCTGCCATCCCTTAGGAGCTGGGAGCCAGCCAGGGCTGAGCCACCTGCTGGCTCCATGATCCACAGAGACAGGTGGGTCTCAGTGGCCTCTGATGCAGTCATCAAGGTCAGAACTGCATGTTATCTTAAAGCCAAGTTGCAAATCTTGGATAATAAGCAGGCTGAGCCCAGCCCTCCCAGGAAACATAGTAGAGAATGGGAAACAAACAGAAGCAAAAAACTAGAAGGCCAGGAGTAAGATAACCAGGCATAGGTGAGTACGGCAAACTATAAAGGACATGTGTGAAGAGGCCAAGGAGGGGAGAAGCAGCCCCGGAAGGAACTAGGAGGGACAGTAGTCCCTGTAAGTGAGGATTTCATATGAATTACCACTAGACCCCAGAGAAAGCAGATGGAAAATGTCTGAGCTGGCACCTGCGACAGGAAACAGGGCAGGCAGGAGACATTGTGAGTTCACAAGCTGGCCCTGGCCCGCTCAGGCTCCCTGCAGGCAGGCCCAGGGCGGTTTCAGGGCTGTGGGCAAGGCCCATGGTCTGAGAGTGATGGCACAGCTGAGGCCCCCCTGGGAGTCCACAATTCCAGCAGTGGCTGGTTGGCTTCAGGTCTTAAGCCCTCCTTTGCCTGGAGACTCATGGTCCTGACCATTTGGATAGGGCCCCAACCCAACTCCGGGGCCAGCCACCAGCATCCCCCATGGCCCCAACCCTCCCCACCCCACCCCAAGACAGAGCCATAGGCTGTGGCTTGAATTCCAAGTCCTTTAATTTGCAGCTAGCCTGCCTGGTCTTCAACGTGGACACTCCCAGTGTTGCCATGCCCCACCCCCACGCCAGCACCTCCCAACTCCCTTCCCAGCACCTTCTCACTGCCACTGCAGCTGCCCTCGTTCCTCCCCGGGCCGGCCCCTCCCTCCAGGCCTCCTAGGTGGGGGCAGGCGGGGGTGCCGCCAGGGCGCCAGCAGCTCCCAGCATCAGCATGGCCAGGGCCTTGGGGCCGGTGGTGTGGATCTTCTCGTGCCGGTGCAGGTTGGAGCGCCTGCTGAAGCTCTTGCCGCAGAGCGGGCAGGCGTAGGGCCGGACCCCGCGGTGGGTGCGCTGGTGGGCGGTGAGGTGCGAGCTGTGGCTGAAGCTCTTGCCGCAGTCGAGGCAGTGGTAGGGCTTCTCCCCCGTGTGCGTGCGGTTGTGCGCGATGAGGTTGGAGCGCTGGCTGAAGCACTTGCCACACTCGGGACAGGGGTAGGGCTTGACCCCCGTGTGGGTGCGCTGGTGGGTGACCAGGGCCGAGCTCTGCGTGAAGCACTTGCTGCAGACGGGACACTTGTGGGGCTTGGCCCCGGTGTGCGTGCCCTGGTGCGTGACCAGGTCCGAGCGGCGCGTGAAGCGCTTGGCACAGCGGTCGCATACGTAGGGCTTCTCGCCCGTGTGGATGCGCTGGTGCTGGATCAGCGTGGAGTGGTGGCTAAAGCTCTTCCAGCAGGACGGGCAGGTGTAGGGCTTCTCGCCCGTGTGGATGATTTGGTGCTGGATGAGGTGCGAGCTGCGGCCGAAGCGCTTGCCGCAGTCCGTGCAGGCGTAGGGCTTCTCGCCCGTGTGCGTGCGCCGGTGCGTCACCAGGTGGGAGTGCCAGCTGAAGCCCTTGCCGCACTGCTCGCATTTGTAGGTCTTCTTGCTGGGGTCGCCGTCGGGGGCCACGCCCTCCTCGCCGGTTTCGGGGGCGCCCGTCTCCCCCTCGCTGGGTTTCTCTAACGGGTCAGTGTCGGACAGGGCTGGCTCCAGCTCTCTCTCCTCCGGGACCCCCGGCGGCCCCTCATCTTTGGGGGGCCACGTTCTCTGGCTGCCGGCTGCCTGCCATCCACACTGTAGGACATCCTGGGCTCTCCCTGTCCTGGTCCGAAAGGACTTCACGTCCCCAGGGACTGCCGGGTCCTCCTTTCTCACCTCCACCGCTCCTGGAGAAACGATTTCCAACCAGAGAGAGGCTTTTGTGAGGGACCCAAGGGAATTCCAGAGATGGAGAAAAGCGCAAGGACCAGAGGGGGGCCTGGGGAACGACTGCCACCCTGAGCAGAGGAGGGAAGGCTGGCACCCTGCCCCAGGCAGGGCCAGGTGTCTGCACCCACAGGAACCAGAGCCTGCACAGACAAAGGGCACCTGGGAGTGCCACCGACAACCCACTGCCCGCCATCACCTCTGGACGCACCTCTCTCCTCTTCATCTCCCATCTGCAGGCGTGCACTGGAGGCCTCGCCCTTGCCCTGCACCTGGGAGGCCCAGAAAGTTCTGCTGAAGGGAAACCCTGCCCGAAAAGAGATGCAGTGCTCAGTCACAGACCTCCCGGCTGCCCAGCAGGAGATCCCCCCCCCCCCCCACACACACACACCCCGAGAAGTGACAGAGCAAAGGGAATGGGTGCAACCGGAAACACCAGGTAATACCACATGAGCACAAAGACTGCTTGGTATCAGATGTCCACCCTCTCTAGGAAGCACGTCTTTCCAGGGCTGAGTCAGGGCTCCTCCTCGTCTCCTTGAAGGAGCACCAGGAGTAAAGGGCCAGTTCGGCTGCCAGCGACCCGCTCCCTCACTGTCACAGCAGTGGGCCCAGCATCGTTGGAAACCAAACACAGTCTCCCACTCCTGCGCCTACACCTTTCCAACACCATCAGCAAAAAAGGGCTCCTGGGAGAGGGCCGGGGACAGGAAGGCCAGAGACACCAACCACCCAGAAGTCAGGGACCAGAGGTCCATTCGGTAAGTCCGTGGTAAAGGCCTGAGAATTCTGGTTAAGTCAGTAAGAGAGCAGAGGGCCTGGCCTCCATACCCTGATCCAAGCTCCCGGGAAGCTTGTGTTGGACAAACTGGTCATTCCTGACACTTGTCATGGGGCCACAAATGGGCACTAGGTTCCCTCTGATCACTCAGGACTTGCCTAGTCCTGCTGATCTGGGCCCTGAGAGTTAACAACTAAAGGAGTGAGCAGGGTGGCTGTGATTTTAGAGTCCATCAGGGACTGTAGGGGTCTCAGCTCACCACTGAAGTCAAAGGGGGCCATTACCAAGCCCCCAACTCCTCTTGGACTAGCAGGTGTGCAACAGATGTATGTTGATAGACATACTAACTGAATGAACAAACGAATGAATGAATGAATGAATGTATGAAGAGCCCAGCCAGCATGGCTCAGTGGTTGAATGTCAACCTATGAACCAGGAAGTCAAGGTTCGATTTCTGGTCAGGGCATATGTCCAGGTTGTGGGCTTGATCCCCAGTGTGGGGTGTGCAGGAGGCAGCTGACCAATAATTCTCTCTCTCCCTCTCCCTTCCTCTCTGAAATAAAAAATATATATTTTAAAAATGAATATACACACCGAGTTTTTCATAAGATCTCATGAAAATGTGCCCAAAAAAACTAGTCTGAAAGTGAGGAGAACAGCCCTGTGACTTAACTCTTACAGTGAGAAAAACAGAGAGAGCCACGCCCCTCTGAGAAGAGGACATGCCTCTTGGGCATGAGTTAATCTGGAGATTAACTGGCACCATGTCCCCGCTACTGCAGGCATGCGGCCCTGACCCCAGAGCCAAGTTTTCTGCTCGGACATTTCAAAAGTCTAGTTTCGTGCATAGCTGGTGTGGCTCAGTGGATGAGTATCAACTTATGAACCAGGAGGTCACGGTTCCATTCCTGATCAGCACACATGCCCAGACTGTGTGCTCAATCCTCAGTAGGGGGCATGCAGGAAGCAGCAGATCAATGATTCTCTCTCATCATTGATGTTTCTATCTCTTTCTCCCCTCTCCCTTCCTCTCTGAAATAAAGAGAGAGAGAGAGAGAGAGAGAGAGAGAGGGTGAAAACTACAGGTATAAGCACACAGAAGAACCAAAGAGAAGCAGAATCTGTAGGTAGGCACTGTCTAGTCCAGCAGCCAACTAGCCACATATAGCTATTTCAGTTCAAAACTGAGCTGATTAAATGAAGTAAATTAAATACTCAGTTGCTCTAACCACATTTCTATGCTCTACAGCCACATCTGGCTCATGGCTGCCAGCTCAGCCCATACATGGAGCATGCCCATCACTAGAAGGTTCTACATAACAGCACTGTCTATGTGAACTATGAGAAGGGGTTAGGCCTTGGAAAGCTGGGAGGTGACAGTGGGCACACCCCTCCTCTGACATCTGGGGCCTCGGGAAGTGGTCGCCCCAACACAAGGGCCAGCCTTACCCAAGGCCAGCCCATTTCGCTTCTGCAGGACATCCCGGTAGAAGCTCTGCTGCGTGTGGTCCAGCTGCCCCCACTCCTCCCGGGAGAGGTACAGAGCCACGTCCTCAAAGGTGACTGGCATCTGAAACAACACAAAATGCCTTCTCTGCGGACACAACAGGCATGGCGGAGGGAGCCTGACAGTGCCAAGATGAGGCCAAGATGAGATTCCCAACTCCCAACCTGCTGCCCAGGCCTGAGGGTGAAGCAGGAGCCACCCAAGGATTTTGGGGGGTGGGGGTGGAGGTAAGAATAAGGCAGTTGTGTGCAACAGACAGGAACAAAAACAAGAGGCCTTCTTTCTGACACCACAGCCAAAGCTTGGAATTCCAGCACATTTCCCTCCAGCACCCACCCTCCGGTCCGGTGCTGAGCTCTGGAGGACGATTCGGTCAGAGATGCTGTCCCTTGGCCTTGGATAGCGCACTCACCTGGGACCAGGCAGTGAGGAGCGCTGCAGCCATCTGCCGGTCTCTGGTCCTCCCCTCCTGGGAAAGCACGGGGATCTGGGGGGAGGGGAGGGCTGAGAGAGGAGAGAGGTCCTCAGAGAGGCCACCTCATCCTGCTGCATCCTGCTGCTCCCAAAGTGGGCTCATGCCTGGAAAATGCACAGCCACCTCAAACCCCACTGCTGACCCCACCCAAGAAGAGGACAGTAGGCTCTGAGGCTGTGCCAGGATGGCCTCCAAGAGACAAGTGAGCAGACACCCAGGCATTGCTCCTGCCCTTGGCAGCGGCCTCTTCCCCTCCCCTCCTGGGCTGTGAGCCTCCCTCTCTCCCACAGCCGCTGCCCAGGAAAGCACGGCTCTTCACCCCTCTCCTCACCTCCGGGCAGAAAGAGAGCTTTCTCCTTAGCACCCTGGCTTAGGCCCCAGATCCAAGCTCTTTGCACCTTGTCCTCCTGCAGCGCCTCCTCCGGGTGTGGCTCTTGCAGCTCTGTCTTAATGCAGGGCGACTCCTGAGCGGCTCCCAATGGCGCCATCTCCTTTGGCTCAGGAAGCATTTCTTGACAGGGATGCCCTGGACCTGGAACCTAGGAATGGCAGCCCCCATCAGCACTGGGACGGAGACGGAGAGACACGGCCGAGCACCCACGTCCTCCACACCGAGGGGTCCCTGCAAGGGCAGACACCTAGTGTGGCCGAATGCACAACCAAACACAAGACACAGCCTTAGGACTGGCCTTGCTCCTTTCCCTACCCCAGGGGCCTGTGCACCGCCTGTTCACCACCACAAGGGAAGAAAGGCAGCTTCTCAAGGCCCTGCGAGGTGCCAGCTGGCTGTGCCCACAGAACGGCTGCCTGTTTCGATTCAGGCCTGCACCTCTAACAGCCGTGTGGATTATTATTATTCTTTTTTTTAAATATATATTTTATTGATTTTGTACAGAGAGGAAGAGAGAGGGATAGAGAGTTAGAAACATCGATGAGAGAGAATAATCGATCAGCTGCCTCCTGTACAACCCCCACTGGGGATGCGCCAGCAACCAAAGTACATGCCCTTGACCGGAATCAAACCTGGGACCCTTCAGTCCACAGGCTGACGCTCTATCCACTGAGCCAAACCGGTTTCGGCTGGATTATTATTTTTAATATAGGAGGTAACCAAGTATAGCAGGTAGAAAATCTAATGACTGGTGGGTGTCCTTATAAAAAGAGGAGAGGACATGGAAATATGGAGGAGGCCCTGCGAAGACAGAAGCAAAGGTTGGAGAGATGCTGTCACAAGTCACGGGACAGCTGGAGCCCCCGGAAGCCAGGAGAGGCAAAGGATTCTCCCCTGGAGCCTTGGGAGCCCTGGCAACACTGTGGGTTTGGGTTTCTGGCCTCAGAACTGAGAGAACCAATTCTGGTTGTTTTAAGCCACCAAGTTTGTGGTCCTGTGTTACAACAGCCCCAGGAAACTAATCTTCCCAGGCTCAGCGATCAGACAATGGCCCAAAATCATGGAGCTGGTGAGTGACTCCACCAGGATTCGAATTCAAGTGTCTCTGACTCCCAAGTCACCCTCGGGCCACCATGTCTTCAAGGTGACCGGGAGGCATCGGGTGGCCTGGGGCTGCTCCTGGCCTGACTCAGTTTGGTCAGAGTAGTTGGGCGTTTGTTGGTTTGGAAAAAAACCCAAGAGTGCCACTAAGTGTGCTGAGGCCTGATGCCCATCGTGGTCTGACAGAACTCCTCTCCAGCTCACCCTTTCAGCACCACCCCGCACAGTGGGACTGCAGGGTCCTCCCAATTTGCCCCCCCACTTTGTCACACCAGCCTCAGCCCGGCCTCTGCGTGAGGAGCAGGCTTTAGTCAGGTGACCGGGGCTCAAATCCAGAGCCTCACTAGCCATTCGCCTGAGCAGGCACCGCCTCCATCCAAACCTGCAGAGTCTCAGTTAAGTTACTTCCCTTCCCCTTGGAGGCCCCTGGTGAAGCCTCATTGTCTCCACAGCAAGGGACTAGCCTTCTGCTGGGAACTCATGCAAAACCCTCCCACATCCCCCATGTCCATCTGTTAGTCTCACAGGAAAAAACTCAGGAGTCAGGGTGCCCGAGAATCACGTGGGAGAGACAGCCTCCAAGACTCAGCTGCTCTGCCTCCTGCACAGATAACAGGTGAGTAAGAACTGCCCAGAACATTCCAGATAAACATAAAAAAGTTGCTATTATTATTATTACTCAACTGTGTGAGCTGTCAGAACCCACCATCAGCAGGGAATGCAGTGGGTGTGTAAGGCCCTTTGGAGTTACAAAGGCACTGTGGAATGGAAACCGAACACGGATAACAATTCCTTGTGCTTCTATGGCGGGAAAAACAGAACTGGTGCTTGATTTGTATTTTACTCCTAGGAGAAGGGCCATAGGTCTCTCTGACCAGGTTCCCGTCGCTGTGGGTGTTCTTGTTTTGTGTGTTACCAAAATGACCTCAATAAGCAGGCTGATGAACTATTTACCGAGTGCCTGCAGCAGCCAAGTCCAGAGCAACTAGGTCGGGAGCGGCAGTGACCAGACCCGGAGCAGCTGGTTGTGGAACGCACCAGAGCAACAGAGGCCAGGCCCTGAGCAACCAGGCCTGGAACAGCTCGCTCCTCACCTGTTCCTGCCCCACGGCTGCCTCTCAGACATGGCTGGAAACTTTTGTGGGAACTTGAGGGTCTGATGAATCAAGTGATGAAGGCTTAGATCTGGATGTGTTGAGTTAGTATAGCGCTGGGGTGTTGATCTGTGAGTGCCTTGGGTGAGGTCTGGATGAGGCTGGTTGACCCATTTGGAAATGTCTTTTGTGTGAAGTGTATCATTGGGCATGTTGAGGTATTATTGATATGAGAAAATGCTAAGTAACTGATTTACTATCTGAAAAGGGATTTACCATTGGGGAAAGGGAGGGAGGAAGAGACTGAACATAAACTGTGCACCTATGGATGAGGACAATGAGGGATGGGGAGGGGGCGGAGGGTGGGCTGGGAACCTGGTGGAGGGGGGAAGAAATGAGGAACCTTTGTAATAATATGAACAATAAAGATTAAAAAAAAAAAAAAAAAAAGAACTATTTACGGAGGACTCTGCCCATTACCTCTTCTGAGCCTCCTAACCACCTGGGTGAGACAGATGGGAACAACAAGCACATGATCCACATTTTGTAGGTCTTACAGAGGCCAGGGACTTGCCCAAGGTCACACACCTGGCCGTGACTGACTCATATTCCTCTGATTCCAAGCCTGGTGGCTCTGGTCTCCCTGTAATTACACACACACACAGTACAGGAAGGCCTAGGTGCTCACACCGAGAGAGAAGAGAAGGGGTCTCAGGCCAAGGACAGTGTGTGTGTGTGTGAGTGTGAGAGTGTGTGTGTGTGTGTGTGTGTGTGTGGTGGGGGAGGGTACTGAGGCTTCTGTGTGCTCTGGATTCTGTTCAGAGAGCTGGCCTCCTCAGTAGGGTTTCTACACAGCCTAATGCTACCTCACAACGTGGTCTTTGGTCCTCTGACGATTACAAAGCAATGCAGTCCCACAGAACTCAATTCCCAGGTGGAAAGTCTTTCCAATCATACCATCTTCTTTTTAATACTCCTATCACCCCCACCACCAGCTCTGCACCCCAGTGATTGGTCCAGACACCCTCCTGGGAAGATACCATCCAGCTCCAGTTCCTTCCAGAGCACACTCCCCTCACCTGGCACCCCGTCCATACCTCTTGGGCTCTCTCTTTGTCCTGGGTAGCCCGGATGCCGCCACGATCTGCAGACATTCTATCTCACAGCAAGAAAGCACAGCTGAGCTGTTTCCCGCTGTTGGCCAGGCCCCCTCCAGCCTCTGGCCAAGAGCCTAGAAGAGCAGAAGGAAATCAGGCAGCGTCTCCTGGACACCTCTGAAGTGCCCCCCAAAACCCCATGGAGGGCCAGATGCATCCCCATTTTCAATAAAAAATAAAGCCTCCTTGATGCCATCCATCCCTCTGTTTTTTTGCTCCTTGCTCCTACAGCATGCTATTTTGTATTCTCCCATTTGTCACTAAGCCAGAGCCCATCAGCTCAGATACAGACTGGGAATCTGTATCTCCTGTCATCAGAAGCTCTCAGAGATCCTACAAAGCAGGTGCTGCGTTGTAGCAGCCAGCTCAGCGGGGGAATCCAGGATCTGGCGTTTCTCTGGCTCAGGACACACATACACCCTGAACTCGGCCTGACTCAGCCCTGCCTGGGATCCAGAAAGTGAGCTGCCCACTCTCAGCAGCCCTCCCCCACCCCAACCCCCTGCAGCTGCAATGACCCGCCTGGCACTGGGAGTCCATCTGGCTGAGGGTCCTGACCGGAGGATGTCCTTCCTGTCCTTCCCCTTCCCCAAGCTGGGTCTAGGACCCCTTCTCTCCAAGCCTTCTACCCTCGACCCCCTCCCCTCCTGCCAGCTGGCCGCCCGCACCAGTCTTTGGATTCAGGCCCCCACCCGGCCCCCCACCCTCACTGAGGTGAAGATGGATGGGGCACCTTGAACAGTGGGAAGGGGGGGTCCTCCCCCAGGAAAGTTGTCACGGCAGCCAGCACCTGGGAAGGGGAGCCGGGCGGAGACTGGGATTAAGGACAACAGGAAGTCCCTCCCAGATCCCGTTCCCCGCGTAGCTGCAGTCCTAGAGGGTTCCTGGCTTCGAGGGTTCCGGGCTTAGGGTCCCCAGCCCAGCAGGGCTTGCTATTGCCCCAAAGGTCAGTCCCAATCTGCACTGGCAGCTCACAGTCACTTTTCCGGGCACGTATTACTAGAGATGCCACACAAGCAGGGGTGCAAATACGGGAAAATGCGTTTTATGGGAGGAGTTTGACATTTGGCGTTTCAGAGACAGCACTGCAGCTGTCCTCACAGGAGGGAGGCACTTTGCTGGGTGGAGGGGCAGATGGTCCTTTTCAGCACCATTGAGGACTTCTGAGGGTCTGTGGTGTCTCCATAGAGATTTCCCCTCGATTTTATTTGCGGCCCCAGGCTGGTCAGCAGGTCCTCCGGGTTCCCCCAAGACTGATACAGAGTTCCCGCTCCATAAGAAGCCCAGGGTCTCCCTTCTGCCTCTTTCCCCCATTTCCCTACACCTCTGAAAGATGGGGGATCAACCTAATTTTTCTAATTGCCTCCGACCCTCAACTCCCTCCCGAGGCTGAGGTAAGCGGAGGCTAAGGGGTCTGGCCCAACTATCCATGGGGCCCCAGACCCTCAGACATCCCTGGTAGGTTCATATTGCACCTCCCAGTCAGAAAGGGGGTGGGGACTAGCCCTGAAGTCAGATTCTAGGAAGATTCCTAGAAATTTCCTCCAGGAAACATTCCCCTGCCCATTGCCATCAGCCCATCCGTCCAGGCTGATTACTTCAAAGTAATCTGGTGTTGGGAACACAGTGGAATGGGAAGAAGTGGAGATGAAACAAAACCAACGTTTGAATTGATGATTATTCCCCCATTTCCCTACACCTCTGAAATCAGGGCTGATGGGCTGAAGGCCATGGGCAGGGGAAGGTTGATGGGCAGAGCAATGGGCAGAGGAAATAGTACAATAGCCCTCATGAACCCATCCCTTTTCTTCCAGGAAATATGGGACGTGTCCACTGCATCCAGTAAGACAAGCATGCCTGGCCCCTGTACCAGCCTACAGGCATGCTACAAAGGCTCATAAGGATTTCTCTTTTAGAAAATCAGAGGCTCGATGCATGAAATTTGTGCAAGAGAAGGCCTCCCTTCGCCTGGCTGGCTGCCGGCACCGGCTTCCCTCTGGCACCTGGGGCCTGGGCTTCCCTTGGGCTGCTGGCAGGCACCCAGGACCTGGGCTTCTCTCACAGCCCTGGCTTCATCCAGAAGGACGTCCAGATGGATGTCTGGTCTAATTAGCATATTATGCTTTTATTATTATAGATTAGTTTCCAACATTTAAAAATTAGAATTCTCATAAATGTTATTTTCTTGAAAAATTAGAACATCTGGCAACCCTGGACCCAACTTCCTCACCTCCAGGGGCCGCTCTCAGACGGCCACATTTGGTTCCCACTTGGCTCCTGCAATATTTTAAGTTTGCAACTCTCCTTCTGGAGTTCAACATGTTTTAGGAGTCCCAGAACTCTAACCCATTCTGTTGTCACTTTGATGGAGAAATTACCCCTATGGTTTATCTCTGGTCAGTATTTCCAGACATTTTAATCCTCAAGGTAAAGAGAGATGTACAAAGGTGGAGCAAAAGTAACTATTGTTTTCAAGCCAGAGAGAGTACAAACTGAGAAGCCACAGGGAGCCCTGAAGAAGTGAACTGCTCAATCTGTGAGCATTTCTCCATCAGGGGGAGCATGGTCGCTGTCCAGAGTAACGGACCTTGCTCCTCGGAGAGCCGTTTTAGCCCATGGCAGTCCCAGGAGTGCACCGAGTCCAAAAAGAGTGCTTCCTGGGCAAAAGTCTCTACCTCAACTAGTAAGGGACACGTCAGGGATATTGGGAAGTCCGGAGATTTGGGTCCCACCAGGGGATTGCCTACACTAGACCGAATAAAGTAATAGTATTTATTTAACTGTTAAAATATATACTGAGCACCTGCTATATGACAGATAGTAGTGCCTTCTTGGAAATAAAAGGAAACCCTTCCAGGACCAGTGCTAGGCCCGAGCAGGCGTAGGAGGAGAGGCTCTCACGCTTGCTATGTGGGAATTCCCTGGACGAGTTCAGAAAGGCACCCAGGCAGGGTGAGTCAATGAGTAAAGCAGAGATCAAAACCTAAATGCATTGGTTGTATGAAACTTGTGTATTACATATAATCATATTCTGTTAAAAAACAAAACAAAAAAACTGCATGCATCCAGCAGCTAGGCAGTACCACAAATGACAGGCTCGTTGGGTGTAAGACCTGAGAGGGGAGGGACTTCAGGGGCCTCAATAAACCATATTTTGTTTAAAAGGTGACAGTTGGGGACCCAGAATTGCCAAAGCTTGAGGATTTTTCAAGAGAACTCAAAAGAATAAGATTTTTATGTGAAATGTCCTGACTTTTAAATGTTGATGACTAAAATAAATTTTTTTAAAAATAACTCCATATAAATCCAGCACAAATCACCGGCTGTCCAGTTCACAGGCCACCAGTGTAGGTATGTACTCACCACAGGAGCCTGTCACAAGGATAATTATGGATGAAGGCGCTTATTGGAGCTTCAGGCACCGGAAACACAAATGCAAACTGGTATCAGGTGGCTTCATTGAGCTTGAGTAAGGAGAATACGCTATCTTTAGAAAATAAATCATGACCTATCTTCAGAGATTGGCCTGAGAGCTTATCAGGTCTTAAAGAGGACTTTACAAAAACAAAAACAAACAAAAAACACACCCAGAATAATAAAAACTAAAACACACACACACACACACACACACACACACTAATCTTAAATAAGAAAAAAAAAAAATAATCTTAAGGAAAAAGTAGCCTTGTATTAAGGCAGCCCAGGCTGGAGACAGGCCAATGTAAACATCTAGTCTTAGGAAGAAGAGACCAGAGAGGGAAATAAAGGAATGGGAGAGAAGGAGAAAAACAGGAATAATCGAATAAATAGAGCAGAGTAAATGTTCACCACTGACAAAGGAAAAAAGAAAACCAGTACGTGTTAGATAGGAGGGGTCCCAGGAATAAAGAAGAAAAATAAGAACCCCCAAGTCTGCCGGAGACCAGGTCGTGGGAGCTCACCCCCAGAGGCACAGAGGTGACTCCGCCGCTGGGTCCCCCCTAATGCGAGGCAGCAGGAGAGGACGCTTTCGGAGCACCGGTGCTGGGAGCGTGTTGCCTAGGCAACGACGTTGCCCCGCCCCGAGGACACGCCGGTGATTGGCTGACTTCCACATGGCCCCGCCTCTCCAAGGCGCCGTCCGACCACTCGCACCTGCGCGCTCCCGTCCGCGCCCCCAGGGGCAGCCCCGCTGAGTGGAGTTACCCTTGCGCCTCCGGACCCAGGCGGGTGTGCTGGCGTTTCCCGTCCGGCTGCCCCACTCCAACTTCCGGTTTTCCCGGCTCTCGCGGCACCAGCTACGAGCACCGGGCGCGGGGCCACCCGAAGCGGCGAGAACTCCGGGGCGGACGCTTGCAAGCCCGCTATGGGGAAATTGAGGCGGTCTGCGCGGGGCCACCAAGCTACCAACCCGGAGCAAACTCCGGCCCGGCCTTCCGGGGACAAGGTCTCCTCCCACACTCACCTAGTCTGAATTTTGTTTCAGATAGGGGAGTGTATGCCACCATGTGCTGCTGACTTATCCCTACTCTGTGTGTGTAACACATCTTAGAGATTGTGCAATATAAAAAACATACAGAGAAGAGAAAAACAACAACAACATGCATGCCGAAACCGGTTTGGCTCAGTGGATAGCGCGTTAGTCTGGGGACTGAGGTTCCAGGTTCTATTCTGGTCAAGGGCCTTGGTTGCTGGCACATCCCCAGGAGGGGGTATGCAGGAGGCAGCTGGTCGATGTTTGTTTCTCACGGATGTTTCTAGCTCTATCCCTCTTCCTTCCTCTCTGTAAAAAATCAATAAAAAATATATTAAACAGCCGAAACCGGTTTGGCTCAGTGATAAGAGTGTTGGTCTGCAGACTGAAGGGTCCAGGGTTCGATTCTGGTCAAGGGCATGTACCTGGGTTGCAGGCACATCCCCAGTAGGGGGTGTGCAAGAGGCAGCTGATCGATGATTCTCTCTCATCGATGTTTCTAACTCTATTCCTCTCTGTAAAAAAATCAATAAAATATTATATATATATAAAACAAACAAACATGTATTGTGTCGAAGACAAACACATCCGGACACTGGTTAAAGCGGTGGGAAGATTTTATTCGGTAACTACTGACAGCAGGGAAAAGAGCGGCATGCCATCCGATTTGACAGGGCATCTGGGAAAGGGAGGGTGAGGCAGGGAGAGAAGGGGCTCAGTGGACTCAGAAGTGAAAGGGCTCAGAGCCGGTCAGTGTAGCTGTGATGAGGCCAGGTGTGTCTGCTGGATGTGTCAGTAGTCCATCCTCCCACGAGTAGGGAGACGGACGTCTTGTCCTTCCCGGCAAATGCATTTCAAAGGAATGACTCTCAGGGCTGTGACAGATGGCTTCTGAGTTGTAAAAGACACATATTCACATTTATAAGCCCTTTTTAGTAAATAGTCTGAGAAAGGGAGGTCAGGGGCCAATCACCAGGTATTGACTAGAACAAACTAAATTCTCCTGGCAGCAGCTTGAGCTTTTTCAGGCAGGCATTTTAGGGGTGGGGGGTGGGGGGCGCTAGAGTCATCCTAGCCTTAGGCTGTTAGAAGCCACAATTTGGTCAAGTCTCTTAGTGCAGGTTTGGATGGAGATGTTGTGTGCTGAACTCAAGTAGTGCTTTGGTTTTTTTGTTGTTGTTTGTTTTGTTTTTGTTTTTGTTTTGTTTTAACTAGGGCATATTGTGTGGCTATATATATATGTCTCTTTAACCAGGTCCCTCTCACCACCAAATTCTTTTTTTTTTTTTAATATATTTTATTGATTTTTTACAGAGAGGAAGGGAGAGAGATAGAGAGCTAGAAACGTCGATCAACCAGCTGCCTCTTGCACACCCCCTACCAGGGATTTGCCTGCAACCAAGGTACATGCCCTTGACCAGAATCGAACCCGGGGCCTTTCAGTCTGCAGACCGATGCTCTACCACTGAGCCAAACTGGTTTCGGCTCACCACCCAATTCTTGATGCCCTTGTCCTGCAGCAACAGGAACTACTCAGCAGTTATGATCATGGAGGCTTTGTTCCTTCCTAGTGGGTGAGCAAGACTAACATCTAATCTTGCAAATAGGGGAGGCAGAGAAGCTGCCAACCCCAGGCATGGCTTCTGGATATCAGCCATGATGCTGGGTTGGCAGTCTGCCTGTCAAAGATGCTTTTTCCTGCCCTGGGCAAGCTCCCAGGGGGACAGAAGTCTCCTGCATAAGCAGCAATACTAAGTCTTTCTTTGCACAATTGTCAAGGCTAGCAGTTTCAGCCTCGGCTCAGCAAGCCACCAAATTTAATAGGGTAAATTGGTTATGCTCCCCAGGGGTGTTGATAGTTCTTTTTTAAAAAAATATTTTTATTGATCTCAGAGAGGAAGGAAGAGGGAGAGAGCGATAGAAGCATCAATGATGAGAGAGAATCATTGATTGGCTGCCTCTTGCATGCCCCTACTGGGGATTGAACCCATAACCCGGGCATGTACCCTTGAACTCCTGACTCAGGCCAGTGTCCAGGGGACTCTTCAGTCCACAGGCCTACGCTTTATCC